GCAGGCGGGGTAGCGGTTAATACCTGGGGGAGAACAAAATCCGGGCATATGCACCATGCAAAAGATGGATGGGATGGTGGTGGTGATGAAGATGATGATGATGATGGAGATACCTGACACGTGGAGCCATCCCAGTGATGCATCTGCCTGCCATAATGAACAGGTGTGCCTGAAAGGGAGCCGGAAAGGGAGCCGGGCACAGTGCTGATCTCCGTTTAAGTGCTCTGGTTTAACAACCAGTTGCGCAAAGTCCATTAAAAGACCATCTTTTCCAGCACTCTCCCCTCCCGCCTCGCATCAGACCAACATAATTAAGCTTCACGTTGGAGTAATTCAGTGCTCACATTGTTCCTACAGCATTTGGAGGCTTAATGCTTCTCAGTTCCTGGTCCCAAAGGCCTCTCAGCTCTCCAGCAGATGGATTTTGGTAGCATGCCCTGGGTGCGAGGCCCTCTGGCATGCCAGCAGTCTCATTGCCTGGCCTTGGGAAATGCAGAAAGCACTCTTTCCATGCTCAAACGATCTCTGCAGCAGAGTTCCTACACTAAAGAGATGGAGCATAACTTTAGCTTGCAGAGCTAGGAAAAGACAGCACAATGCCACCTCGTTTGTGAATTGCAATACTACACAATTGAATGTGCAACCAAATGTCAGGGCAGAACGTGCATACAGCCATGCACCTCATGCTGCGTGACCACCTGTATTTGGGCAACCTTGAACTGAAGACAGACATCCTAGAATCCTAGAAGCCTAGAATCCTAGAGCTGGAAGAGACCCCCAAGGGCCATCCAGTCCAACCCCATTCTGCCATGCAGGAACTCAAAATCAAAGCATCCCCGAGAGATGGCCATCCAGCCTCTGTTTAAAGACAACCTCCAAAGAAGGAGACTCCACCAAAATCTCCGAGGAAGCAATGTCTTCCACTGTCGAATAGCTCTCACTGTCAGGAAGTTCCTCCTAATGTTGAGGTGGAATATCTTTTCCTAGAGATTGCATCCATTTGTTTCTGGAGCAGCAGAAAGCAAGCTTCCTCCCTCCTCAATATGACACCCCTTCAAATATTTAAACAAGGCTATCCTATCCCCGCTTAACCTTCTCTTCTCCAGGCTAAACATACCCAGTTCCCTAAGTCATTCCTCATTCATGGTTCCTGGATCCTTCCCCATTTTAGTCACCCTCCTCTGGACACACTCCATATTGTCCACATCCTTTTTGAATTGTGGTGCCCAGAACTGGACACAGTCTTCCAGGTGTGGCGTCCTACATGGGACAAACCTGTCCAGCTGCTTCCGTAAGGAAAGTTATTCAGGAGATGCCTTCTGGCCTCTAGGCAAATGTGCCAGGAGGTTGCTGAAAGTGGTGGGTTTTGTTGCTGGAGTTCTTGGTTTTTAATAATTTATTATTATTATTATTATTATTATTATTATTATTATTAT